GGTATGTACAACTTCTCCGTCATAAAACATCTGGTACTGAAAGTGTAGTCTTGCTCCGTTACATAAAAAGTACGTGGCATAATAGTCTCCATTTCATGTTCCACAAGGATAGATTTGACTTGACCTGAGAAAAAAGCCCGAATCTTGCAGCCGTTGTCAAGTTGAATAACCATGGGGTGCAACCATGCCTCACATTCACCTTTCTCACAAAAAGCCGAGATCCATTGGCTTCTCCATTCGGAACATTCGTGTTCTCTGTAAACATTACAGGACACCCCTTATATAACTTCAAAGCAGGATCAACACGTTTTCGTGAGTCCGAACCGGGTTTTAACGAGTCTTCTCCACATGTTGAAAAGAAGTGCTTTAAAACCGAATTGCTCTTAACAGGAACAGTGTCCTGCTTGATTGGCCATTTGAAGATCGTCATGAAAATGAGTACTGCATCATCAGCACGGAATCATCAGCAGGCTTGTTCTTCCCGCAAAAATCTTCGAAGATAGCTGAGTTAATGGCATCTCGATCTCGATTCAGATAAGTAGCAACTTGAATGTTCTCTGGTGGAACATGGGTTGGGCCAACCATGCACGCGTCATTGATGGTCTCAATATCTTCTTCTGTTGTCGCCCTTCACGGAATCTTAACAGCGTTGCCCCCATTCAGGATCGTCTTTGAAGCGGTGCATTCCATCTAACTCAATAAATGAATTCAAAGAGTCATGAAATTCAGGAATGGTGTGCTGAAGATTGTAAATTGGGGGGCGTCCCACTGGTTCAAGTTGAGAGTAGTCCCCCGCGAACACCACGTTAAGTCCCCCAAATGGTTGGTATTCGTCTTGCATCAAGGTCTTGGTGTAGTGGAATATCTTCACTAAGTCAAGTTCCCCCGCGAATAAGAAGATGAAGGGTAAGCAGTTCCGGATTATCAGCAATTCTGCAGACAACTGGACACAAATTACAGGTATATACTGCAGTGTGGTTATTGGTAATTCATGGCGATACTGTCAAAACTGGCTTACGTGGTGTTATCAAGGGGTCGAACCATGAGTGGTTTGTCTTATTGAAGAAGCTGGATTGGGATCCAAAGAACTTTGCCAGCCACACGAATGAGAGACATGCTTGCAAGATTTAAGGATACTATTGGGCTTTCTGTCCTAGGAGAAGATCAATACGATGAAATGTTCCAGCGAGAAGACGGGTTCTTGTTATAAGTATGAACGGTAGGGATATAGGGTAAATTAATCTGTATATAAAAATTTTATTACTACAACTACTTTCTGAGATTCGCATTGCACCTCTACGTCATTCAATGTCAGTCATTGAAAAAGATCAAGCGTCCAATCAAATCACAGGCGACCCGAAAAATTGGGAGCCAACTTTTAAAATGTGAAGAACGCAAGGCGACTTTCATGTGCATGTACATGCGTTGACTGTATCCCGTCAATACAATACTAGTCGAATACGTAGACTTCTACAGGGCCTTCTAAGTAATGCGCGCCGGGTATAATTCAAACCTCTGCCCCCATCCGTACCATTACCCCTAAAAGCAAGTCGTCTCCAGGAGACGAAATATTGGATTCTAATAAGGGGTCTTATGCATTCTGCTTGTTGCAAGCTGGTTGCCTGATACGGTAGATACAAGGAGCGGTCCTCTTGTTAGAGTTTTCCTGGAATCCCGGCCCGTGCGTGTCAACCGTCCCAGGGGCAGCGGTCCTCTCGAATGCAATAATGGGCAGGTCAGCAGACAAGCAAGAATCTTTGACTTTGGTAGTGCTCGAAGTTTTCTGAGATGATAGGGATAAGCTGTAGCATTGAGGACTTCGGATCAGATGGGGGGATCTAGCTACCCGGCACATACATGAAGTGCTTGCTGTTTGCTTGCTTGTAAAGTCGCTCTCATGCTTGCCCGTGTGGTCCGAATGGCTATCGATGGCATAAGCACGGTTGTTGAGGTATCGAGATCAAGGCGCGGGAGTGAGGATGAGAAGCACTTACGTCAGTCCTGCCTCCGAATGCAAAAGATCTTTGGACACAGCCACCCACAACTTCAAAAAAGATACCACGTGCCGATACAGGTTGGTGGTTGGCGAACGACGTGCTACCACCACCCTCACTATTGCTGTTCAACAAGTTGTTGTCAGCGACGACCCCATTGATCATTGTATTGGTTGGCCTTCAACCGTGGGTACGGCTAGCTAGTAATTCTCAGAAAGACAAAAGAGAAAAGGGTATCCTCAGCTTGTACTATCCAAAAATCATCAAAACCGACTGAGATGAATCTTCGAGTGGCTCTGTTACTACTATTGGCCTCGGCTCGAGAGTCAGTGGGCTTTCAAGCTGCGACTGGTATTGGTCGGGTTACCACGGGTACTGATTCCGTGAGTCATGCCGTTTTCAGACCTGTGATTGCTACCCATCATTATCCGAGACGTCATTATCCACTCTTCCTGTCGGCCAATGAGGGAGACGACAACACTACTAAGAAGAAGGACGCCTTGGACGTGGAGGTAGTGTTGGAGAGTACGAGTGAAGATCAACTGTCTGCCTCGATAGCGGCACTGCAAGAGGAAAAGGAGGACCAAGGATCCAAATTGGTGACACTGAGTCAACAAATGGACGAATTGAGCAACCAAATCGATGCCAAAGAAGCCGAGATCAAAAAGGCCCAATCGAACTGGGACACGGAAAAGGATTCCCTCATGACCAAATTGGCCGACTTTACGGCCCAACTCCAATCGGGTCAAGACGAATTCGAAGCCAAACAGACCGCTCGATTGGAACGAGAACAGGAATATCAACAAGAACAAGATCGATTGGAACGAGAAGTCACACTGCTGCAACAACAAATGGTACAAACCCAAAATGCCTTTCGTACCGAACAACGAAAAGCCGAAGCACTACAGGCCAAATTCACCGAATTGGAAGATGCACTCGAATTTGAACAAATGAAATTTGCCAAGGAAAAACAAGAATTGCAAGAACAAGTCCAGGAGCAACAAACGCAATTGGCCGAAATACAACAAAAGTTTGCCACGGCACAACAACGATTTGCCAAGGAAAAGGAATCGTTGCAACGACAAATTGAACAAGAACAACGTCGATTGGTCGACACACAATCCAAATGGGAACAAACCAAACTCGAATTTCAACAGGGACGTGGCATTTTGCAGACCAAACTGGAAACGCAAAAGACCACGCTGTCGCAAGTCCAAGAACAATTGCAATCCGAACAAACTGATTACGATTTGCAAAAACAAGTCATTCAAGACAATTTGCGAGTCGAACGGGACAAAGTCCAACAAGTCGAGGCGACGTTGAAAAAGGAACAGAAACGATTCGATACGTTGCAACAAGATTTGCAAAAGAACATTCGAAAACAACAACGACAAGTCGAGCGATTGACCAATCGATTACAGGCAGAACAAGATCGATTCAATGCCGAAAAGGATCAACTCGATGCCAGACTGCAAGAAGAATCGGAAAAGTTGGCACAAGTCGAACAAGAGTTGGAACGGGAACGATTGGAGTTTCAACAAGAAGAAGAACGATTATCCGACGAATTGGCCGAAGGGGACCGCATTCGCAAGTTCAAAAAGAAAACCATGCGACGACGGTATCAGTCCATTCGGGCCGAACTGACCAAGCGATGGGAGAATATTCAACGGGACAATCAAAAAGTACAAGACCGATTGACCACCAAGTACGAAAACAAACTGTCGCAAATGCAACAATCTGTCAAGGAATTGGAAGCCGATTTGGATCAGACCGAAACATCACGGACGGAATTGCAAGGATTGTTGGAAGATGCCAAGCAGCAAAAGAGAACGGCCGAATTGGAACAGAATTCGTTGGAAACACGGTACATTAAACTATTGGCCATGCGCAATGGAGAAATTGCCACACTCAAAGGGGGTGTGGAAGATCTGAGAAGCAGCATCCAAGCCAAGGAAGAAGTATTGCAACGGTATCAGACCAGTTATCGACAATTGGCTCGGCTGTCGGTCAGGATTACCCGAGAGCGGCTGGGAAAGGCATTCAAGCGAAAAGACAACAACCAGTCATGATACTAAATGGAGGGAGTAGTTCTGATGAGTTGTATTTGTGATGAGTGGTATTTGTTAATAAGCGTTTCAGTGATTATCATGTCTGTTCTCGAATGGTCGGTCTGTCGACACCTTTTTTAGAATTCTCCAAAGCTTGTAGAAGTATTAGTAGCCCGTAAAAGGCTCTTCTTACTGATTACAACATCTAGTTAGTAACTTATTAACAGTACATAACACGGGAGGCAACATGTGCACGATCACTTCATGTCAAAGAAGTACGCATTGCTTCGGTTGGTTTGGGGTTGATCTCCTCTTGCTTCGGCAACGAATGGTCCTGGTCCTGGTTGTGCATTCTTCATTTTCTTTTTATGTTTTGGTTTTGGTAGCTTCAAAGCGCTACTGCCTTCACTAACCTTTTGCACCAATTCGTTGACAAAAGCTGACGTGCGGTCGCCCAACTGCACTGCTTTGGATAGATCCACCACCGAACTTACAAACATAAAGTTGAGATTGCCGAGAAAACCTAAAGCTTCTTCAGCCACCTTGGCCGTACCAGTGGTTGCGCTGTTCAAGAGCGGATACTTCTCCGTTGTCGCATTGTACGACACCAACAGATAGTCGTCGACTTCAAAGGTATGCAGCACGGCACCGGCCACGTTGATAGACCCAATGGTACTCTCCGAAATCATATTGGTGATATCGTGCAGGTCACCAGCTCGGTCGTAGTCGCGGCTGACGAAATGAGCTGCCGATGCGCTCAAGAGGCCCAATACGGGGCCACCAATCGAGAATCCGACCGCCGCCCCCAACAGACCGGACGTGAGCTCCACGGCTTTTTCGTTGATGGGAATGAGCTTGACGTATGGCTTAGGATCCTTCCGGAAGGGTCGAAATGGGACGCGGGTGTGCGTTGGCTGTGTCGTCCAGGACGGAGGTATCAGCTTGGGTGGTTTTGGAAGATAGTTTTGCAGTAGTGGAGCGCGTGGGGGTAGTGCCTTGGGTTGGGGTGGTTCCACTCGGGGGCTCAGGAAAAAGTAATCGTCGGGATCAGAAAGTACACCTGCAAAGAGAGCAACATCATCAGAATTGATCGGACTCGAGACGTTTTCCTGCGTGGCAGTAGCAAAAAAGAAGACCTTCGGACCGGAGTCTTCGACAGTGTCGACATCTGACTCTGGAATCGACTTGTCGTTCATGATTTCCGTTTTCACAATTTGCATGTCCTGTTCCAATTCGTCAATCTTGGCTAGGGTCTCATCACTGTCTGCCATGATTTCAGCCTGCAGTTGTTCCAACTCTTCTTGAGCCGAGGTATTGGCCTTTAGCAAGTCCTTTGTCGCTTCCTTGACTATTTCTTCGGCGCCAACCGCGGAAGCGTCCGACGATAACGCCAAATCAACTTTCTTTGGTCCCATTTCTTCCTCTTCCACCAGATCCATTTGACTCTCGAAAAGATCGCGCCCCAGTTCTTCAAACATCATTTCTTCGCTGCTAGTAGAAGAGGGTTCGACCCGTTGATCCATCTCGTGTTGCTGTTCACCAAGCGACGAGGACGGCTGCAGATCCACCCGATGTTTCAACATTTGACGACGAGTCAATTCTTCGCGCGATGCGCTGTTGGTGACAACATTAGTAGAGGGTTCGACATTTTGATTCATCTCTTCTTGTCGTTCACCAAGAGACGCCGCCGCCGACGACTGCCGTTCCACCCGCTGTTTCAACATTTGACGAAACGTCAATTCTTCGCCTGGTTTGCTGTTGGCGACATCATTAGTGGAGGGTTCGACCCGTTGATTCAACTCTTGCTGTTGTTCACCAAGTGACGACGCCGCCGACGATGCCTGCAGATCCAACCGCTGTTTCAACATTTGACGGCGAGTCGATTCGTCGCGTGATGCACTGTTGGCGACAAAGTTAGTCGAGGGTTCCGCCAGCGGCGGATCCAACCGCTGCTTCAACATTTGACGTCGAGTCAATTCTTCGCGTGCTGCGCTGTTGGCGAAAACGTTCGATGTTGCTTTCGTCAGGGGTTTGTCATCCACGGCCTTTCCGTCGTCAATCGATGACTCTGTCGGTGTTTTGGACGTTCCATCAGTAGTCAATAACCCTGCATCTCCTTTGATTCCAGGAGGGTTCCACTCAAAGTACGATGGTCTGTTGACTGCATTGTCTTTGATTCCATCGACGTCGTCTTCCATCATTTGCTCGGGTGACATGATATCCTCAAGGTACGGAGGCGTCGATGCCGCGTACTCGTTTCCAAGCTCCGAATGAACTGGTTGCTGTTCACCGTTGGGCGTTTCCGGTCCCGCTGTTTCAATGTATTCTTCCTCCAGTAGTTCGTTTTGAGGAGGAGGCGGATCCATCTCCTCCAAACCAGGGGGCGTGGACGATGTGTCTTCCGATCCAAGGTTGAACTCGACGACATCTCCTAGAAGTTCTTCCAAAACTGTCTTCTCCTCCAGGGGCATTTCGGCCACTGACGAGGGAATGTCCGGTGGTGGTGATCCTCCCGTCAATATGTCGTTTTGCATATCTACCAGAGACGTTGGTGACCCAAAATACGACAATGGCGTCGTCACGTTGGATTGCGTCTCTTCATTTGTTTGTTGTTGTTGCGGCTCCTCTGTCGGCATGAGGCTCTCTTCCATCAAAGATGATAGCAGGGTCGAGTTGGCAATTTCCTTTTCGGAAGCAACAGCCTGCTCCACAGTTTCTTCTTGAGCTGCTGCTATTGATTCTTCGGTTTTGTCAAAGTAGTCGACGCTGGCAGACTCCTCATCAACCAGTAGGATTTGTTCCTCGACGTCCTCATTTTTTTCTTCCACTGCTTTTGTTTCTGTACTTTGAGAGGGTTCAAAGTAGTCAACACCGGCAGAATCCCCAACCTGCTCATCACCTAGTAAGGTTTGTTCCTCAACACACTCAGCTTCCTCTTCCACTGCTTTTGTTTCTGTAGTTTGAGAGGGTTCATCAAAGTAGTCGATACTGGGAGACTCCTCCACCTGCTCATCAGCCAGTAGGATTTGTTCCTCCAGATCCTCAACTTCTTCTGCTCCTTCAATAACTTGGTCAATGTCGTCTTGTTCTTCTATGGAGACCTCCTCCACATGGTCCATGCTGGCATCCGTCTCCGTTGGCGAGACGACGGTACTAGTTTCGTCTTGTTCTGTCATTGGTGGTGGCGAACGACGGGCTTCCAATTGTTCTAGATACGATAGAGTCTCCAAACTGTCCGTGTAGGATTCCACCATTGGCACATTGGGTTGTTCTTGTTGTTGTTGAAAGGATTCTACCGTCACATTGGTGTTGCCCATCAAGAAGGGCGGCAGCTGTGCCGTGGGTGGAACATCTCCTGCTGGTTGTTCGAATTCCTCCTCCAAGAGTTCTTCTTCTTCCAAGAATTCTTCGTCGTCATCATCATCCTCCAACAAGAGGGCAGACGGTTCGTCGGGAGATTTTTGGAGAATCTCCTTGACATCTTCCATAATGGCCGCTGGTGGTACAAAAAAGGAACTCCCGGCAATCCCATCCTCATCCGACTCGATCATCTCTGGAGGAGGTGTATCCACGTCCTTCCACTCTTGTTTCTTTTTCTTCTTTTGGTCCAGTACGGATGAATTGTTGTTGCTGTCTTCTTCCAATTGCTGAAAAAGTCGTTGTGTGGCAAAGGAAGCCGCCAGTAAAAACGTCATGGCTTGGAGTTGATCCACCGTTTGAATATCATCGCCCCACACTGTTTCCACATTGGATGATTCTTGCTGTTGCTGTGGGGTTTGTGCTTGCTTGGAAACAGTTGTTGTTGTTGTTGCCAAGGAGGACCACCAATTGGATTTTTTTGTGACACTACTAGAAGATTGTTGTTGTTGCTGTTGTAACTGCTGCTGTTGAAGTATCCATTGCTTTTGTTGATGTCTTGATAGATTGGGTTTGGGTTTGATTTGTGGCACGTGATCTCCAAATGTGGCAGGTAACAGCATTTCTTGTACTCGTGGGATTATTCGACTAATACTGGTAGTAGTAGTAGTTGGAATACTAGTAGTAGTACTGGTCGCTTGTGCCGATGGCGCCGGTGCCAGCGTAATGAGCAGTGCCATCAGCCAGGCAACTAGTTTGAGTCTCCATCCTCCCGTCTTTTGGGGGACGGGTTTCCTTGGCGTCGTTGTCGTTGTCGTCGTCCACAAGGGACTTTGAGAGGATTGTCGGGCATTCCATAATAATGGATTGTCGTCGTCATTCGTATGGCTTGCTGCCAAGGCATGATGCGTCCACAATGGTCTTTGTCTTGATTTTCTCTCCTTGTTTTGGTCGAACGGAGGAAACACAAACGCACTACTACTGGTGCCTCTTCTCCATATCGGTGAAGAATAACCAAGGGTCGGCGATACATGTTGTGCTACCAACAACACCACTACCAACCATACTTTGACGCTAAATACTCGCCACCGTTTTGATGCCATTGCCATTACTAATTCTGGATTCACCTTCTTTGCTCTCTTCAAACTACCGTACCGGTACGGTGCCATTCAAGTGGTTGGTTGCTGTACAGTATGTCCTTCACACACTCTACTACCAGCAGCACTCTGCTTTTGGTCAACTAGCTAGCTAGTAGCCAGTGGATGATGATTGAGAATAGAAAGCAAGGTGCCCGCCAAAAAGGTTTTTGAAAAAGATCGAAGGATTGACACCACCGCTCGCAGATGGTCGAAATCCAGAGGGGCTTCGGATCCATGCTGACGTCATGCGTTCTAAAAGAAGTCTGTCTTTTATTTAAGGATGGAGCTAAAGATCTTGAGAGTTTTGAGATCGACCATAGTAAGAACCTTGCCCGCAGAAAAATTTTAAAATAACTCAGATCCGACATGCTCCATCGTTTCGTAATGGTAAGACTAGACTACCGTACCGGTACGGCAATGATGAGACGTAGGTGGGTTCAGAGTTGCATGCATGTACTGTACTACAGTATGTGGCTAGCTAGCTAGCTAGTAGCTATCATTGATGGCTATTGTATCGGTAGCGCCCACGGGCAAGGATGTCATTGTAGTTGGGTCGGGACGGGACGCTTGATGCTTCATTCTCATCGATGGCTAGGATACGCACACCGGCCATCAGTTTTTTGTACATGTAAGTAGCTACCGTACCTAACGAACGAACTAGCTAGCTAGCTAGCTAGTAGGTAGACACGGCATCAAACTAAAATCAATCAATCAACTTCTTGGTCCGGACTGCTACAGTACAGTACTGGGGAGTGATAGTAAAGTCAGCGCTACGGTTTCCCTTTTCATACGGTGCACGAAGACTTGCAGGAAAGAAAGAAGCGGCCATTCATTTACTCACTCACTCACTCACACAGCTTCACTGGCTGCCTTTTGTAGTTCTTCTATCAGTGCCTTCTTTCGACGGTTCTTCTTCCCATTCGGTCGTCGATCCCGCTCCAGTTTCTTGAGTTCCAACATCATTTGCTTCACTTCGATTTGCTTTTTCTGTTGGGAAGTCATGGGGACCATTGCCTTTTCTTCCGGTACGAAACCCACAACAAAGCTATTCATGAGGGTCGAGTGGTCGCGCTGTGGCCATCGATGCGGTTTGGGGACACCCGGGCGGGCCGTTTCCTCGGTTCCTTCCCAATACCAATAAGCATCCTCGTGGGCATGCATCTTGGGGGCACCGTGGAAATGCCATGTTTGAATCACGGTGCAGGCATGTACATCCGTCGGCGTGTCATTTGGTGGTGGTAACTCCTTCATAATGGCCCACAGGGCCGAGTTTTCCGCAGCATTTTCGTTCATTTTGAAGAAGGCCGTCTCATGGTTACTGTTGCTGTGGTTGCTGTTGCTCAGTTTGTTGACAGTGGGGCGTTGAAAGTTTTCTGGTTTCAATCGACCAGCCACAAGTGTTCGGTGAAAGACATGGGCATCCCAGGAGGAATAATAGTTCTCGCGGCATTTGGCTTCAATTTCAGTCTGGAATTCAGTGGAGTTGCTTCCATGAATAAAACGGAAATAGTCCTTGGTGGGAGAAGGCACTCTTTCGGCTTTGAATCCCCAGGTTGACAGTGCCAGTACAGTGGTGTTCTTGATGTACTTGGCCCACTGGAGGGAACTGTCAAAGGCTTGGTCGGCATTGGACAAAACGACAATGTCACTGGTGACAAGGTCAGGGTTGGTGGCATGTGTGAACATGTCAAAATAATTGGGTTGTTTTCCCGACACATCCAGACAATCTAGAGCTGGTCTTTTGCTGTTTCTGTAGTCTGCGGAATTGGGGTCAATCCCCATAAACTGATGGAATTGATTGCCGAGCTGAACCGTTCGCTCTTTGAAATGCTGACAGTTGGCTTCGGAAGTAGACCCATCAAGGATAATGACAACTTGGTCAAAGTGTGGATTGTTGAGGTTGTTCAGGATGGATGCTTCAATTTCCCGACGATGAAGACTGATGGATTGCTTGGGTGGCTGAGCCCAAAAACTCGTCACCAGAGAGATGGTCTTTTGACTGGGAACATCATCATCTGTCACGGCTGTGGTGTTTTGCTTCGGAACGAACGTGGTCCCTGGAGTAAGACCCCTGTGCTGCCTGGAGCTTGTTTTGTGGGAGACTGTGGATGCATTGATAGGCAATATGCTGCGACTTTTGTTGCCAAGAGCGATCACATCAGTTGCGACGACTCTGAAATGTTTCAATTTGTTCCTTTCAGATACAACAGCCAAGATGCCGAGGAACACTATGACATTCAGAAGTTGCTGTCTTCGGCTGGGGGTTTAATTACTTATTTAGGTTAACAACCTATTGGGTCCGGAGGACCTTTTTCTACGCTGGCAATAGTTGAGCCCGAGGGCCCAAATAGCTGAGTCGTATACCATTGATGAATTGCACGATAGGAAGATTCACGGTGCACACCAAGCGTCAACACTGAAGGAGGATATGCCTCATAGTAGCACGGCTACACTATCCTATAGTCTCACCGCCGTTCACCTCCGCCCCATGAACAGGGGGCAGGTCCCTACAGCTCTACTTACAACGGAAGTGTGCATCTTCCCATCATGACCTGGAGCACGGTGGCCTAGCCAGGATTTAACCTATTAGAAGGGCGCTGATCGACAACAGTCATCATCGATCCACCTCCACCACAGGTGAGTCTGAGTGATCAGGTCCCATGCTGTGGCCATTGCCTTGTCGTGCAAGGCAAGGTGCCAGCAGAGTCCATAGGCGGTGGCACACCTAAGGCTGGACCATGTCAGGGTATGACCTATCCAGTGGGCGAACAATGTCAGGCAGAAGCCGACAAAGAGCCATGCGATAGGGCCAAGTGACGCACTGGCAGGCAGTGGCTCCCAAAGGGTAGGCACAGTGTCTGCTGGGGCGGTGTGGACTGTAAGAGGGATTGTGGGGTGGATGTTGGAGGGGTGGTTGTGGGCTGTAGGTGGTATGGTGCTGGAGGGAGGAGGGTAGGATGTGTTTGCTGTGGGAGGCATGATGGTTGGTTGATGGAAAGGTTGTTGTATCGTGCAATGTTGACTGTCGGGTCATTGCTGCAACTCAAGCACAGGGATTGCTTGTGAGGTGGAGAGGAGGATTGATTCGAAGGAATCTATTCAAGGAGGCCAATGCTCTGGGGCACTGGCACTCAGGGTATGGATCAAAGCTGTTGGGTGGAGATGGCCGCTGGTTCAGAGGCTGGGTCCCAATCTAGTACAGTTACCACAAACTGCAAAAGGAAGGGATCAAAGCCAAAGGCTGATAGGGATTCTTTCAGGGGAAACTGGAGAAGTCGCGCTATAGCCAGTAGAGACAGTGGTGGGAGGATCAAGGGGTGTTGTTGGTTGATGAGGCTGTGTTACTGGTTGACACTGTGTTGTCTCAAAGGCTGGTACTCAATCTGGTGAAGCCACCACAGACTTCAACAGAGAGTCAAGCCAAGATTTGTAGAGGGTACTCGATTCAGTGGGATGGACAAAGACTGAGGAGTCACTCAACAATCAGCTAGAGAGGTAATAGAGTCAGGCGGTGGTTGATATCTAAGCCACACCACGCTGCAGTTCTGTATGGGACTCAATCCTTGGAGTCAGACACATTCAGTAGGAGAGGCAGGAGCAGGAGTAGAGAGGTGGCTGGTGCAATAAGGGGGGTGTTACACAATCTAGCTGTGATGCTAGAGGGGCAACTTTTGTTGGTTCTTGTGGGGGTGAGATCCTTTGGAGAGGAGCTGGATATCCCAGGGGGGGCTGTAAACCAACCAAGAAAGCAGCCGAGCCTGGAGATAGCAGACCTCAAGTCCTTACAGGAACTCTGTTGTTGTTTGTTGTTCCTCTGGGAGAGGAGCTAGATATCAATGGGGGAGTGGTAACAGTAGCAGGAGGTATCAGTACCAACAAGGACGTCGGGAGAAACCACTAGTGGCCGGTGAGAAAGTAAGAATACAGGTGTAATTCTCTTCTCGGTGGTCACTGCAGGTATCTCGTGAAGTCCTTCTTGATGATAGGAGGTTGCGTACGGGGGAAGAGGTACAGAGGAAGAGGTACGGTCGCGGGAAGTCGATTCACGGAGTAGCGAGTCTTGGATCGATTCGATTCGGAGATCGATTCGATTCGCGATTCGATTCGAATGAGTCAGTTACCTTAGGGGTAAGGTTAACGGTCCTGTTGTTGTTGCGGAAGATTCGATTCGATCGTACGAAAAGGGCGACAATGGGATTTCTTGGGCCGTGGGTAGTACGAGCAATGTCATGCAATACACGGCTCTTAGCCTTATTCGCGACTCGATCCTAGATAGGGTTTGAGTTCGACTCATGATTGAGTCTCTTGTGAATAGTCATTTGAGACAGGGTTCTCAATGACCGCTCTAGTCATACTAGGTTGATCAATTGGGATGGCTTTCTGATCTGAACCGGAGAACGCCGCTTTGATAGTCGCTTGATAGGAGAGGTGCAGGAGAAAGGAGTATCGATCCTGTCGATCCTTTTGGCTTGAATGAGAGATAAAGAGAGGGAAAAAGGATGTATGTTTTCCGTGATGACGTTGAGTGGATTCCTATAGTAAAACAGTACTCTTCAACGAAATAACAGATAACAGGCTTCCTGAGGTCCTTTCGCTTCGTTTCAATGCTTCCAGTGGGTCTAATAGGTGTGGTGATGGTATAGAAGTGACCGTCGTATTGTTATCGTTGTTGCTATTAGTGTTTTTGGTTGACAGATCCAGCGGCAGGAGTCAGTAGTTGCTCCCGCTTGGAAAAGTGAGAGTGAGGACAGTATCACCTTTCCCATGGAGAAATCCATGGCAGGATGACAACAAAATGGAATCCAAGCTTGTTTTTTCATAGAGGCTCCATAGGAAACCTTGGAGATGGCTGAGTCCCTTCAAGGGGTGGCTCTGTGAGTGTGTTGGGGACCTAGTCCTCTGACAGACTCAGCTAGAACAATGTATTGGTAGAGCTAATGGCCATTTGGTCAACACTGTTGCCATGGTGATAAAATTCATTTTATTTGCTTCAATCTTTTCTTTATTCCAACTAGTCATTTCAATGTAGGATTCGAGAAATGACCGATTCGGTTAGAAATGACAGCTTCCGATTTTGGTTTGGACAAAACCATTTTGGAAATGTCAAATGAATCTTCACCGGAGGGCCAGTCCGTAGCTTCGTTCCCTAAGTCTTTCATACATGGGAGAGCCAGTCGAGCTATCGTATAAGCGCCAAATTTCAATTTCCTTTGACCCACGAATATTTTATTGGCACTGTCGAGAAGACCATCAAACATAGTAGAGCACATCGACGTACACAAAAATCGCAGATGCCGCTGCCTAGGAACGTCGTTATCCCTGTCTCTCGTACTCCAGCCACCAATAGAAGGTGCTGGAAAGCCAATGCTTCTATTGAATCATTGAAGCTAGCTTCTAGGGATAATGACTGGAGGATTGGTGGCAGTGGCCATGTCACCTCCCGTACAAGGAATAATGGCAAAGGAAGACCAAATTACAGGAGGCATTTGCTTGCCGAGGAATTGTCTGACGATGAAGACAATCCAACGGCACCGGAGTTTGTCGAGCAAAATCCAGCGATCGAAGAGGCCACCTTGGAAGAGGAAAATGATAAACAAAACGGGCCGAAGTTCAACACGAAGCCCCACGAAAGAGTCATTCTGGAGGTCGAGCAACTCCGTGAATGCTTCCGTCAGCTGCGTTGCGAAAGAGAAAACTGCAACGGACGCCTCTAATTCAATATCCGCAATGTCTGCATTGCGTCGTCATTCAAACTGGAATGCACCAATGACAACTGCGACTACGTTTATGGCAGCAACAAGCCAGTCACTACAAACATGCATGCCGCTGGAAATGACAAGGCTGAAAGAAGCACCGACTCGGCTGTCAATGTGTTGTTTGTATTGAGAAATATTGCGAATGGTGACGGTGGAACCGAATCAGCCAGAATCCTCGGTCTTTTGGGCTTGCCGAATGATACAACGATGCAATCTCGTTCGTTTGGAATTATTGAGGAACGCATTGCTCCCTATATTCTGGAATTGAAAGAGGAAGTCATTCGGAAAAATCTAATAGAGGAGGTCCGCAAATCGACGCCGAATGAGCAAGCTTTTCTTGATTGGATGGCGGCTTTGAATGATCCCAACGGGGCGTTACTCCAGGACAAAATGCCGTTTGTTGACGGATGATACGACATGGTGTGGCAACAGAAGGGATCCGGCCACTTGAGAATTCTGTATCTGGCCACGGTGCCATTGTTGGTGCCATTACGAGAAAGATCATATCGTTTGGGATCAAGAGTAAAGTTTGCGGCTTTTGCACTGCCTGGGCAAAGAAACATGCGGATACCGAAGCTGACAACCGTCCACCGGTACCAGAGCATTATTGTACTAGGAGCCACAATCCAAACGATTCGTCAGGATCAATGGAATCTGCTCTGGCTTTGGAGCTGGTCGTTGATCTGTTCCGGGACTCCAAAGTCGTCATGCGGCATTTGTGCTGTGATGACGATTCGTCCATCCGTGCGGACTTGCAGTGGAGCAATGCCAATTGTTAACTACAAAATCAACAATCAAACCGACGTTTTGCCAAAGCTGAAGATCACGAAAGGAAAAAGCAAAGGGGAGCTCCAGGACCGTCCTGACAAAGGAAAATTACCAGGTGATATTCCCGAACCCAAGTTTGTGGCTGTTCCGAACCACCGCCGCAAACAGTTGACGGGAGAGCTCATTCATCTTGATCTCTCCACTGTGGAGAAGAAGAAAGGGATGTGCCGAATGGATTCTATCCGTATTGGGAAGAAC